AAGGCGTTGATTTTTGTGGCAAAAAATGGCAAAATCATGAAGAAACGGCAGCAGAGTGCACAGCCCTCAGCCCCTAGCCTACTTACTCCCTTAAATGAAGCAATTCTATACAAACTACCCAGTAAATTATAACATGAGAACATAAATATATACCTAGGTATTAATACTCATCGATACCCCTTAGAGGCTTAATCACTCCTGTATATTAATTAATAATAAATTAAATTATTTTCCAAGATACATTTGTTACATATATTTAATGCACAGAAAAGTCGATAAGTACGCAATGTTTATACCTAACAAAACTTCTGTACATCACAGAGGATCCTCTCATTATGTACCACCAAAAGAACGCTTTAACAATATCCAAATATTTACAAAAAAAATTTAATAAAAAGTTACAATACTGTAGAAGGAAGATTTCACAAAAAAAACTCTTAGTATTATTATTATAATAAAAAACAAGCGCTAAACCACAAGGGTTATACAGCTCTCGTAGGAGCTGTCGGTCCAAGACAGACCGAAACGTCGTCACAAGATTCCTCTCTCTACTAGGTGCAGGTCTTTGATGAATTTATACAAAATTTTCTCAAAATATAACCTCAGCCCCTTTATTTGAAACATACTCCCAGTCATTGTATTACTGCCGTGCTCTTAATACACCCTACCAAATTGATCTGTTCGAAAATTGCCTCAATGTGCAGTGATGAGTTTTTTTTTTTTTTTTTTTTTTTTTTTTTTTTTTTTTTTTGCGAATCAAAATCGCATACAAATTTCTAATTTCGCACCAAAACTAATTCAGCAACCTCACCTTACACTGCTAAAATTAATGGGATGCTATTTAGTGAGTAGACTCCGGAAAATACAGTTCATCATATTTTCATCACTGCCTGCATTCTTAGGAGTTAACCATTAACTCAAGGCTCTGTCTTTCAACATCATTCGATACGTGAAGGACGTTTCCGGGGGTCAATGTCCTGCGACCCAGTCCCAAACTAGGCCTCCTGGAGGATCAAATTCTAATCAACCAGGCTGGTACTGCTGACCGCAAGCAGTACAACATACAAACCACAGCCCGGCTAGTCAAGCAATGATCTGAGGAACTTCCCCAATTCCTTCTTGAAGACCGCCAGAGGTTTGTTGGTAATTCCTCGTACGCATGGAGAGAGAGCGTTGAAGAGTCGGGGACATCTGATGACACTCATCGAGTTCTCTTCTAGTGCACTCGTCGCGCCCCTGCTTTTTAGAGTAGGCATTTTGCACCGTTTGCCAGGTCTCTTGTTGGCATACAAATGATTTAAGTGCTCAGGTTTGGAAACAGTCCCTCTAGGGTTTCTCAGGTGTATATTACCTGGAGGTTACCTGGAGGTTATTCCGGGGATCAACGTCCCCGCGGCCCGGTCCATGACCAGGCCTCCCGATGGATCAGGGCCTGATCAACTAGGCTGTTACTGCTGGCCGCACGCAGTCCAACGTACGAGCCAGCAGTAACAGCCTAGTTGATATATTGTGTACCTTTCTCGCCTACGTTCCAAGGAATACCACTGAAGAGACTTTCAAGCATTTCCAATATTTCAGATGCTTGATCGAATGTAAATGAACATTGAATTTTTTCTGTAGACTGATTTTCTAGCTCAGAAATCTCGCCTGCTTTGAAGGAACAGTGCAGTAATCAAGCTTGGAAAGAACAAGTGACTTGAAGGGTATCACTGGTCCAACATATCTTGTACTGAAAGTTCTAGTTATCCAGTCTATCATTTGTGTATCATTTTCCTTGTGGTAGCAATAGTAACATTGTTGTGACCTTTGAATGTTAGGTCTTCCGACATAATTACTCCTAAATCTCCCACGTGGAACTTTCGCTCTACTGAATGATTTGACTTTCCAGTACTTAGTCTATTTCCTCCACTCTTCCATAACGGAGCAACTGAAACTTGTCCTTGTTAAACATCATATTTTTGTCTGAAAACTTCCTGTGTCTTCGACGGAGGCCACTCTCACAGAAATTCTGGGGTCATCATCAAAGACTATGTGTGATTAATGTCCTTGTCAATGTCGGATATAAGAATGAGAAACAGAAGTGGGCGAGTACCGTGCCTTATTAAGGAACAGAGCTTTTACTGTGGCAGCCTCCAAATTCCCTGTTTACTACTACTCTGTATTTTATTTGTATTATTATTATTATTATAATCAAGGGGGAAGCGCTAAACCTGGAGGATTATACAGCGCCTGGGGGGGGCATGTGGAAGGCATTCAGGCTTAATTCGGGGAACTGGAGCACAGATCCAATTCCCTAAATCAAGAGCCCCTCACCAACATCAAGGAACCTTCCTTGAGGGGATTTTATTTGTAAATAAGTTAAATATCCATCTGCCCACTTCCTTTTACACGCATTTTGTGAGCAATCACACCGTGGTCGCATTTGTCGAACGCTTTTGCAAAATCAATGTACACATCAGCATTTAGCTTGTCTTCTAGAGCATCCAGAACTACATCGTAATGACCTAGCAATTGTGAAAAGCAGTTAGAGCTACTGGGTTATAGTTTATTACATAATTACTATAATCATGGGGGAGCGCGAAACCCGTAGGGATTGTACAGCGCCTGTGGGGAGGGGGGAGGGAATGGAAGGTATTCAGACTCAATTCGGGGAACTGGCGCACAGATCCAATTCCCTAGATCAAGAGCCCCTCGCCAGCGTCAAGGAACCTTCCCCGAGGGGTATATATTTTTTTTTTTTAAGTTTTACTGAGATATACATAATATACACTTGGAAAATCCTAGAGATTAGTATCAATCTTGTACACGAAAATCACTCCTTATGAAAGCATAAGACTCGGCAGGTGCAACATTCCCCCATTGAAAAGCGGGGGCTCCACGAGCACACAGAGACAACACAAGCGTCCTGGGCCCAAGACTATTCAACTGCCTCCCAGGATACATAAGGGATATTACCAATAAACCCCTGGCTGTCTTCAAGGCACTGGACACGCACCATAGCCCGGCTGGTTAGTACCTGACCAGCCGGGCTATGGTTCGTACGTCAGTTTGCGTGCCGCCAGCAGTAACAGCATGATTGATTAGACCACGAGGCCTGGTCTCAGACCGAGCAGCGGGGGGGTTGACCCCCCAAACCCTCTCCAGGTATACTTCTTTATTAAATTGGACTGTATCGGGGGAGGGGGGAGTTCCATAATTGTAGGATGACACCTGTGTCCAGCATTCTTCTCCGTAAAATACTGAAGGCCCAAAACAGTGGTTTCTTAAAATTTTGGATAAGTATTGAATTCCATGAATCTGGGGCCTGGAGCAGAATGTATAGACCTGCTGATGTCTTCTCTCGTCAACTGGGGAGTCATACCACAGGCCATTAGTATCAACTTAATTCTCACCAAGGACAAATAAAACAGAACAAAGACACGTGAAACACTGATTATTCAACAAGATTTATCGAGGCTACGTCACGTCTTCTACCAACTTCAGTAATTATTCTGTCCTGGATTATTAAAGCCACTGGTTGACGAAACGTCTCTACAAAAAAAAAATCGCGTGTTGCACACCTCTCTCATCTACTTGTCGCTTCTGTGTACTATTACTATAATAATGATATTGAGGTCAAGGCATTTTCAGCTTGCCGGATCCCTCTTGCTGATCAAACTCCTCGACGTGACCTTTCACTTGTTCACATGCTCAGATCAGGTGCACCTATCCTACGATCCTCCGTTTATATATTCCCACGTTTCTCATGTATTCCCTATAGACTTGAAACAGGTTAGTCACCAAGTGAAATGTTTTAATATAGTATCCATTATCTCTTATGCCCAGCTTATCTTATATCTTCTCATTTTTTCTGTATTATTTAACGTGAATGGAATATACTAATTTCATGATGCTCAGATTGATTTCTAGCATAGTGGTAGTTAAACTGCAACAGTGAATATACACTCTACTTGTTTGGCAAAACGGTAGTTTCTTTTTAAGTCAAGATCAGAAACTTTGGCTAAAATGGACAATAACCTTATTCACACCTGACTTAAAAATACAACCGTTTTAATTGTCTTGAGAATATAAAGACACTGTATGGCCAGTAATGGACACCACCTCAACGGACCTTTATCATGGATCCTCCATCAGAAGCACCTAAATCAAACTTACCCTGTATTACTATAATCAAAAGAAGTGCTAAACCGCAAGGGTTATACAGCGCAACTTACCCTACAACTTAGTTAGGGCATGAGATATTTCATAATTATTTCACCAATTGAAAATGGAAACCAATCGATGTTTCGATCCATACTGTACCATTATCAAGCCACGAGACAATAAAATAGCTCTAAACAAGATACATAAAAGGGGAGAAAGCCAGAAAACGGGTCATGGCAGAGGTAGGTTAAAGAGTCAAGGTCACGCTATCTAAAGAATGTAAGATTTGATAAGTGTACTGTGATAAACATTACAAATTATGAAGTTAAGCGCTAAACCCGAAAACAAAGTTAGGACCTGTTTCAAAGTGAATGTGAAGGTTTAATTGAAGGGGGAGAGAACTTGGGAAGAGGACCAGGTTAGGAAAGACTGGTCCCTAACAAAAACTGTCAGCAAGGCAGACACTTATGCTATGTTATCTTTCCTGCTGAGTTTTCATGCATTATATTCAACGGGCAGCGCTAAACTCTTAGTCACAGCATTATGGAACCTCCTTGAGGATTATAAATACATCAAATATTTTCTTAAATCATGAATTTGAAGTATGAGAATCTTAAAAACTTAATTTGCTTTTAGTCATATCCAGTATTGTGTTCATTAAATTTTTTTTAATTTCTAAGCCATGTTACTTTAGTTTTGGCTTTAATACTTTCAATTCGTTAAGCCAGTTTATTAGACTTCAGGTTCAGTTATATATATCATGTATTTACAAGATTTTTCTATTTCATTGTCCAGTTCTTCAATTAAAAAAAATTCCAATCATGTTCATACAGTGTAAAGGAACACAAAACACAATATAAAAATCTATATATAATATAATTAACTATTTACACAGGAGATATCTTGTATATGAGAACATCAGGTACAATATAAAAATTTACTTAAAAGTAAACACTTCTTACAGAAGTATGTATGTCGCACCTAGAGATGCACTTAAACCTAAGGCTTTGTATCAGGTCGGTTTACTTCTTTGCGGGCTTCTTGGCGGCCTTCTTTGGCGTGGGCTTCTTGGCAGCAGGCTTCTTAGCGGCTTTCTTGACAGCGGGCTTCTTGGCGGCCTTCTTAGCAGCGGGCTTCTTGGCGGCCTTCTTAGCAGCGGGCTTCTTGGCGGCGGCCTTCTTAGCAGCGGGCTTCTTCGCAACTTTCTTAGCAGCTGGCTTCTTGGCGGCAGCTTTCTTAGCGGCTGGCTTCTTGGCGACAGGCTTGATGTCATCCTTGGCAAGCTTGAAAGAACCTGATGCACCAGCTCCCTTGACCTGCTTCAGGGCGCCGGAGTGACTCCCTTCTTCAGGGCCAGCTTGAGACGGACACCAGCCTTCTTCTCATCTCCAACCTTGTAGTTAGCGACGATATACTTCAGAATAGCCTGACGGGATGACCCACTTCGCTCCTTCAGGGATTTCAGGGCAGCAGCAATCATCACAGCATAGGCAGGATGAGTAGGTTTGGCAGCAGGCTTCTTTGCCTTGGTGGCCTTCTTGGCAGGAGCAGGGGATGCAGCAGCGTCAGCCATTGTAGAGGTTACGGAGAGACCGTCAGGTGAAAAAGACCTTCGTCAGATGGAGTCAGGAGCAATGGTCCTGTGTTGAGTCTCAGTGAGAGGAGTGATGCGGCAACACTAAAATCGAGTATTTGTGCCTGCGTGCGGACGCAAAAGTAGCAGCGTAAACACACGCACTCGTTTTCGTTCAAAGTTGCTCGGTGTTCGCGACCATTTGTGTTTGTTAACTTAGTTCTATCAATTATCACGGTCTATAAACACTTTTAGTGTATTAAATTTTTGTCGCTTCAAGTAGTATATACATTTAGCTTCTATTCTGTATAAAGAACATGTAGGTGCGATCATCTGTCTTAAAGAAATCGGTGCAAATATGACGAGGATCGTATTCTCAAACTCTATATATTCTTATTTAAGTCGCTATACCTTTCTTAATCAAAAGTTACTTTGCACGAATTATACATCAATGGAAAGAAGAATTATTTGTCTTTCAATGTGTGTAAAATCCACAATTGTCACATCCAAAATAAAGGCGTAATAAATGATATATTTTGGATAAACAAACACAAATTCCCGTTCTTGCTGCCATAGCTCTTCACTGATAGAATAGGTCATGTATCTTTTCTTTCATTATTATTGAAGTGTACATTTTAAACCAAAGGCGAATACTTCATAACATGTATTTCGAGAACACTGATATTATCCAAGGCATAAATTACCAACAGGATCGAAGAAAAACAAGCTTTAGAAGCAGAAATATTACAGGCCTTCTCAGGCTACGTTGGCTGGGTCTAGAGCAGGGAGCTCTGTCAGAGAACAAATAGTATTTTCCTTGTTAAACTCAGATTTATTATGTCTAATAATTAAAAAAGTGAGTGTTATATGAACACATTATTAATCCTTCCCTAAGTACCTAATTTTCTTTTCAAATAGACACAGGAGAGCTGAGAAAGATGATAAAATAGGAGTGATTTCCAAGATTCCCAGGCCGTTACCCTTCAAAATAAGCACAACCAGAATAATGATAAATCAGCCAGAGATTTTTCTTGACTGCTTTAGCTAACGATATTTCTGCATTATGTGTATGGATCAAAGTGCCTAAAGAGAAAGATATAAGTAAGTGATAAAATTATTATTTTTTTTTACTTTCTTCACTCAAAGCTGAGGATATAAATACACTGGTCTCCCGAATTGTCCCAGCGAAGACCCTTGCAAATGCTTGTGACTGCAAAGATATTACATATATAAGGGAAGCTTATTGCATTTTACTCGTCTTAAATAAGTTATATTTGCGAGTTGTTATGGACAGAACATTATTTTTTTTAAATCATGCAGAATATAAAAACATCTCTTACATATATACCAGGTTCATTATGGTTAAATGGTATGGGTTTAATGTAAAAATTCAGAAAAAAATAATTTGAGCTAATCAAATATAAAATTAATATAGGCATAATTAATCTAAGCCAATATAAAATTGTCTTTAAGTTAAATTTCCAAGTGTTTAAACGGAATTTTTTTTTTATCAACGGTTGAATTAAATATTGTGTTATTATAGGCATACAGTAGTACTAAATTATGAAGATTCATCCTAGGATAACACAATAAAAACAAACAGCACGAGCTCTTGTTCAGTATTTCAGCTTTCAGTAAATAACATCCTCTAATTTGGTTTAATATATTGTGGCCACATATAAATGAATATTAGAGGCTAATTTTTATATATATATAGGACAATGGAGATTACTACTGAAATTCTGCTGTTTAATAAATTCAACAAATTTACGAATTACTATGATCCTGTGCAGTGTTGAACCACTTACTGAACTGCTGATTCAAGTTGTAAGGATTGGACAGATGAGTAGGAACAGCAATGCTAGTTAGTACTGCCTAGTAAACCTTGAGTAGTGATTCTTTTTTCTGTTCTAGATTATATTATTAACTTACCTGCATTTTTGTTCCTCCGCCTGATTTAATTCTTAAACTTTGCATACTGCTTGACTTTCTGTATGCACGTGTTGTCTAAATAAAAATGGTACATTTGTGCATTGTTCTGATGGCAGCAAAATTATATATGAGAAGCCAAAATGCAGTTGTAATTTAAGAAGCTTATTAACTGAGTTTTCTTTAGGATCATATGAACTATGCAACAAACCTCAGATAATCACAAAATATGAACATGCTAATATACGAGCTAAGCTCCTTTCTGAAAGAATTAATAACAATTTATTAGTCTGAGACATTTCTGACAAGTAAAGGAAGAAATATAAATTTACAATAAGGAACCTGCAGTAGGTCTATTGATCTTTCCAAGATAGATTCTCATTGTATTCAACTATGCTGAAAGCTATTTAATCTTTTTATTTTTATTTTACATAAAAGTAATATAATAGTCAATATTAAAGTACTACAGCAAGTTTATTATATGACTGCGCATTCATTTTTATATTTTTCCATAGACTGTTAGGTCTGCTTCAATGCACCTTGATTTTCATGTTCTTATAATCGACAACAGAAATTTGTGAATTTTACATTGACGAAGGCTTTATATGAAAGAATAAATTAATATATTTACTATAAGAGCATTTGCTTCGATATTACATTGTATTTCATGCAGCGTGAAATCTCAGTCAATCAGCACAAACAACAGTGTAGGCTCGATCCATCGTCCGCTAATCGCGGCCTGGTCTCAGACCAGTCAAACTGGTGGTGGTCCTTTATGTTTCTTTAGTAATTATGCAAAAAAAAAATATGTAAAGCGTTAGCAGAAGTGACCAAATGAATCATATCGAGTACTTACTACTTAAAGTACTTTTGTGTATCCATATATATCGTGTTATATATTTTATAGTATATAAATTATACATGGAAAGTCTATTATGGTCCCTATTTAAAGTATCAGAGTATTGTTTTAAATGTATAGGTTAAATGTCGTCTTAATGACCTAAGTACAGTCAATAGGTTTTAAACCTGACTTTAAAATAATTGTAATAATGCAATCCAAAATAAGCATCAGCCATAACTTAGAGTTATACTGAACACTGTAAACTGTCAATTATATAACTGTTACTAAACTCTATAATGTTTCTAACGAACTTTATTAACGGGGAATTTAATAAACCATAAGTAAAAAAAACCCTTAAATATTTGTATATAAAATAACTACATCAGCAATAAGCGGAAATAGTGCATCATACAGCACTTTAATAATAATAATAATAATAATAATAATAAATTATAAATTATAAATACTAATATTAAAATCATTATAAATAATAATAAATTATAATACCAATATTAAAATTATACATATAATAATAGTAATAATAATAATAATTAATATACACAAATAACCGCACATAGAGAGAAGCTTACAAAGTCACGCTGGGACAGTGCGACTTTGTCAAAGTTGGACCGAAATATCATGGTAAGCTCCTTTCTCCTATGTGTGGGTTATTTATGTATTGTTCCAGTCATGGTATTGTGCCTTTTTGTTCTTTAATAATAATAATAATAATAATAATAATAATAATAATAATAATAATAATGAACAAGATTCAGCATATTAAAATGATGAATCTTATGAAGCATTTAGATAAGCATTATTTAGGCTAATTTAAAACTGGCGCGTTTACGAAAAAAAAAAGAACAGTAATTTCTATAATTTTTGTGTCGAGTACTTTTTTACAAACATTCAAATTCAAATATTTTATTTCAAATTGTTGTACAAAGTATACAATAATTACAATGCCACTCCCACACTGTCGACGTCCCACTCCACGCACCCAACCTCGGAGTCCTTCACACTCATACTAAGTCCCACTCCACATACCCACAATGAGTTCCACTCCACGTACCCACACTGAGGGAGTCCCACTCAACACACCCACACTGTGGGACTCCCACTCAACACACCCACACTGTGGGACTCCCACCCAACACACCCACACTGTGGGACTCCCACCCAACACACCCACACTGTGGGACTCCCACCCAACACACCCACACTGTGGGACTCCCACCCAACACACCCACACTGTGGGACTCCCACCCAACACACCCACACTGTGGGACTCCCACCCAACACACCCACACTGTGGGACTCCCACCCCAACACACCCACACTGTGGGACTCCCACCCAACACACCCACACTGTGGGACTCCCACCCAACACACCCACACTGTGGGACTCCCACCCAACACACCCACACTGTGGGACTCCCACCCAACACACCCACACTGTGGGACTCCCACCCAACACACCCACACTGTGGGACTCCCACCCAACACACCCACACTGTGGGACTCCCACCCAACACACCCACACTGTGGGACTCCCACCCAACACACCCACACTGTGGGACTCCCACCCAACACACCCACACTGTGGGACTCCCACCCAACACACCCACACTGTGGGACTCCCACCCAACACACCCACACTGTGGGACTCCCACCCAACACACCCACACTGTGGGACTCCCACCCAACAACCCACACTGGGACTCCACCCAACACACCCACACGTGGGACTCCCACCCAACACACCCACACTGTGGGACTCCCACCCAACACACCCACACTGTGGGACTCCCACCCAACACACCCACACGTGGGACTCCCACCCAACACACCCACACTGTGGGACTCCCACCCAACACACCCACACTGTGGGACTCCCACCCAACACACCCACACTGTGGGACTCCCACCCAACACACCCACACTGTGGGACTCCCACCCAACACACCCACACTGTGTGACTCCCACTCAACACACCCACACTGTGGGACTCCCACTCAACACACCCACACTGTGGGACTCCCACTCAACACTGGGAGTTCCACTCCACACCGTGGGAGCTCCACTCCACACTGTGGGAGCTCCACTCCACACTGTGGGAGCTCCACTCCACACTGTGGGAGCTCCACTCCACACTGTGGGAGCTCCACTCCACACTGTGGGAGCTCCACTCCACACTGTGGGAGCTCCACTCCACCACTGTGGGAGCTCCCACTCCACACTGTGGGAGCTCCACTCCACACTGTGGGAGCTCCACTCCACACTGTGGGAGCTCCACTCCACACTGTGGGAGCTCCACTCCATACACCCACACTGGGAATCT